ATATAAACAAATGTAAAGAAGATACTATTTCAATTAATTTTGTGCCTTGAACACCCATTAGCTTTCATCTATTTTTTTGGCAATAGCTGATCATTTTTTTATACATGTGAGCCCATAAGCACATGCCTAAATAAGAAACAACAGAAAATACTTGTACCACAGGAATTTAAAACTGAAGTTTTCACTGAGATCCCAAAACACGAAAATCATGAAATTTCAACTTAGGTAAGCATCATGAAGGAAATAGCTCAAAGTCTATTCCATAACTCAAATGCTCTCATTTACTTTAAGAATCAATATAAAAGAGCAGAGAAAATTTGAGAGAGAGATTTGTGAAGGGATTAGACTAGGGAAAGCCGAGGTTGCCATCTCTACTGGGGAGAGGGTCGGGGATGTTTCTTCAGCTCATGCCAGGGGCTGCCATGGGATCAGTGGAGAGTGTAGGGTATGTTCCCTGCAATGAAGGGATTCTGTGGAACCAGGAAGAGTGGCCTGCAGAGCAAAGTGTGTGTGAGTGTGTCCCTTGGCCCAGATAAAGTCCCTGGGGAAAGAGACCTGGCCTGGCGCCATCTTGAGTCCCGCCCAGGAGACCTGCCTGAGGGTGAGAGAACTCCTGTAGGGAGACTCCCATAGTGCTGAGAAAACACAAGGCAGAGGTCCTGAGGAACAGCCGGCTGAAGGAATACGTGCATCACTGTTGTCATAGGGGTTGCAGTTAGAGGAGCCCAGATGTGACTCTCCAAAGAGCCCCTGGCCTTAAACACATGCCAGCAGCGTTAGGGATGTGTGACCTGTTCACACCTCTACACAGGTAGCTCCACTTGGCTCAATGTTTGCCTGTTGCCATCTTGACATTCTGAATTATTTTTCAACAGGGGGCCCAGCATCTTCATTTTGCACTGGGCCCCGCAAAATTGATTGCTTGGTTCTGTGTATCAGGCAGAGAGAGTGTAAGACTGGCTCCCATGGGTAGCAGGGTAGCGCTGGAAAAGGACTGTTCGGTCCTTCACCCAAAGACCGACCTGCGGGCTGGGAGAGGAAAACCAGATGGAGAAACAGAGAAGCTGAACTTGCCTGCTGTCCCCACTACAGTCTTCCAGCTTAAAGAAGGCTCGAATTCTACATCAAATTCAGTGTTTTGATTAAAATCTAATTTCCAAATTGAGATGGTGTTTGCAACTTTATGTGGCCGTAGTTCTGTCTAGGAACTAAAGGTCCAGACAAAAATTCTGAGACTGAATTTGCTCCTGCTAAAAAAAAGCAAGCCAGTGCTATCTAATGACATATTACAAATTCAACCATTCAAAGACTTTGCGGCATGTGTGGGGGGGAATCGGCAGGAATAGATTGGAAACATTCTGGCTGATTCTGAAAGTATTTTCATTAGCAGGAGAAGCTGTGTTTTAATGGATGGACACACTGCCTGGAATGGAACTGCACCCGCCTGAGACAACCTCAGAAAGGGTTGAGGTGATTACCTTGGTGAGGGTTGGAAATTTTTCACTGTTGGTACTTCGTGGCTAGCTGAGAAGTTGTCTCCCCAGAGCAGATTCAGAAACAGTGAGAGGTGCACACCCCCTTGGGAACTTAAAATTACATCCTCAAATGAGGTTCTGAGAAGACAATATGGATGTGTTAATTTTATTGCTTACCTTGATTCTCCCCCACAGCTGGGAATAATAGTTATGTATGTTTGTTGCTTTGGAATTAGATCATGAATTCTAGTTATTTTCCTGTGTTCAGTAACTTTCTGTGGCTCAAGTGTCCTGAAAGACTACACGTAACGTCCAGAGATGGCTTTAGCTGCTATGAGACTTAGGTAAGACGGAGAAGGACAATATGAATGAAAAGATGTTCATTCATGTTCAGGAATATAGAAGGGAGAGAAAATCTGAGAAGAAAATAAGAGCGAGATTGTGGAGGGCTTTAAGCATCCCAGTTTTGTGGCATCAGATTGGTGACATCCGTTCCTTACATATTCTCATGTGTTACTAACACAAACACTTGACCTACACCTTAAGAGAGACAGCTTTGAAAAAGACAATTCATACTAATCACTATTGCAACAGACTCTCTTGCTACTTACACCTAGATTTAAAAACTATGCTCTTTTGGAAATTGCTCTATTCATTAATTAGAGCTGTAGATTTAACATGGTTATTTCAGAAACCAACTGTGGGAGAGACTGGCTGGCTGGCTGTTCATCAAAACTATTCCTCCTTCCCCTCCTCCTCCTCCTCCTCCTCCTCCTCCTCCTCCTCCTCCTTTTTTATTTTTTTCTATCCTGGGCTAGACTCTGTTTCATGGCCTGCCTTATAGGTAGGTGGCTCCGGAGAGTTCTGACCACTCTTTCCCCTCTTCTGCCTGTTTGGTGTCTTGATTATGCACTGAATGTATCAAAACTCTACCATGGAAGAAACATGGGCCCCCAGCATTTTTAAGAATAAATGTATAAAGGAGACTTGCTCGCATTCAGAACTTAACATGGATGAGAAATACACTTGTGTGCCAGGATAGATTTTTGTATTTATTTGTGATAGCAGCTAGTGTTATGTTAATGAACATGTTCCCATTGAGGATAACGGAATTTTAGCCTGCTGTCTACTCACTACGTTTTAGATACCATCTAACATTTCATCACATTCAATTCTCATAATAAGCCGTTGAAGCAGTTGTAATTGTCACTTCACAAATGAAGAAATTAAGGCTTAGGAAAGTTAAGCAACTTGCTGGACACATAAATTCTTCTGAGAGAGGATTTGAACACAGGTGTGCAGGTCTCCAAAGTGCATTCATGATCTTGCCAATAAGCCATCCCGGAGGCAAGTATTGTATAAACTGGACATAGGGGACAGATTTTTCATTTGTTCATTCATGCACTCATTAATTTATTCAACAAACACTTACTCTGTGCGTACTTTGTGCCATTTCCATTTCCGATCCTAGACACTGGAGACAAGATACCCTTTTTATGCAGAGAAGTGGTAGCTGCTGTCCTGAAATTTTAAATGTACTTCCAGTTTAAGTAACTCCCTTTAAATGGCGGAAATACTAAGAAATAGCTCTCAATATCTAATTTAGTCATTGGTGGTCAAGAAGAGTAAAGACTTCTTTTTAAAAAAAATTTTTTTTGTAATGTTTATTTCTCAGAAAGAGAGAGAGAGAGAGAGAGAGAGAGAGAGAGAGAGACAGAGCACAAGTGGGGGAGGGGCAGAGAGAGAGGGAGACACAGAAACCGAAGCAGTCTCCAGGCTCTGAGCTGTCTGCACAGAGCCCGAGGCGGGGCTTGACCTCACAAACCGCGAGATCATGACCTGAGCCGAAGTGGGACACTTAACAAACGAGCCACCCAGGCTTTTCTTTTCGTTTTAATTTTTTTTAATGTTTATTTTCTTTTGAGACAGAGAGAGACAGAGCGTGAACGGGGGAGGGTCAGAGAGAGAGGCAGACACAGAATCTGAAACAGGCTCCAGGCTCTGAGCTGTCAGCACAGAGCCTGACGCGGGGCTCGAACTCACGGACTGTGAGACCATGACCTGAGCCGAAATCGGACGCTTAACGACTGAGCCACCCAGGCGCCCCTAGATTTTTCTTAAGATGCCTAAATTACTACTACTGAGAGATGTTACCCGAGAATATCTGGCTTAATACAGAAGGAGGGCTTTCTCTCCGAAATTTAAGAGGGACATTCATTCCCATGGACAAACTGTGCTCTGCTCCCGGTATGATTGCCATGTGAGGACAATGAAGAGGAGAAATCTAGCATACGCTCCGCATGGAGTACCATCACACTGTTAATTGTCAGATTCTGCCAATTTCATGATGGCACAGTATGGGGGAAAGAACAATGCTATTTAAGTAGTTCTATAATAATTCTATTATAAAAGCTGACATGATTTTATTATAGAAATTTATGAAACTACTATAGAAGAGCAAAGTAGAGCAGAAATAAAAGTTTCTAATTTTTCAAAAAAAAAAAAGTCTGGAGTATGTAGTTCACTGTAGTTTATACAACACTTAATTTTAGGGTGTAACCCACCTAAGATTTGCTATAATATGGTGAGACTAGATGAAATAGTTCGAGGCAGTTTGGCTTGTAAAACAAATTTGGTTCTCACAAAAATGTTTATGTTAAAATCAAAAAACAAATGAAAATTAAAATTGATAAGAGATATTAGTAATTCAGAACACTGCAACTCTCACAGTTAAATATTTGTAAGAGCTTTGGAGCCACTTTTTAGGGCTGGTATCATAAGGGATTATTTTCTTCAACATGAGAAGTGGGTTGGGTTACTATAGAACAAAATTCTGACCCAATATTGTGTCTTACAGGAAGAAACCTCTAACAGAATCATTTTGCAGATGGGGACTGTTAGAGGTCTGATAATTATGGGAATAAATGGCGTCCATTTTACACCCCGTAAACTGGATTAAGGATCAGTCTATTATCTATTAATCAGTTCTTGATGTGTTGGGAAACATGGGGAAAATTGAGGACTTTTTTCCGTGGGGTGGATTGCGTATCTTAAAAAGGCAAATTTTATTCTAGAATCGTCGGGGAAAGGTTTCCCTCGCAAACGAAGAAAATTGGCCCACCTCCCCCCTTTTTCTTCTTCTTACGTTTTAGACTCTTGTCCACACATAGTATACAAGAAGGACTACCCTCACAATGTTGTCTGGCCATGGAAAAACAGAGAAGGAAGTGCACGTCAGGAGGAATCCTCCAAGCCAGAAGCACTAGTAAGAATCTTGCACTGGGAGAAACAGGTACATCAACAAGGCTAGAACCACGTGGTGAAACAATACGGATTTTTCAAAGTGTTCCAGAGGCGACAGAACATGGTGTCAGAAAAAATAAACTTCCTTTGTAACTTTATGGACTGTTGCATGGGAAACTATGGCCATCTTGCAAAACTGGTGTCTCCACTGCAAATATTCTCAGGAGCCATGAAGTTCAAAGGAAAGAAATGGTATCTTCTTCGTAGTGAATGCAGTACATCATGGCTTCCCCAAAGTCAACGAAAACTAGTATCCCTAAAAAGGGTGTCATTTTAAGAGTGAATTCCGATGCCAGGGCCAGCTGTCCTCCCGGTGCGGTCACGACTGCGGCCCGGAGCGCGGGGCCGGCTCTCCCGAGAGGTGCTCTCGGGCCGGGCGGCCAGGTCTCCCGGGAGGGTCGGGCGCTCGGGACCGAGCACCGGGGCGCCGAGGGTGGGGTCCGCTCGCCGCCCGCTCCCGGCACCCGGGCTCCCCTCCGCACCGGGCACCGCCCACCTCCCCGGGGCGGCAGCGGCGGCGGCGGCGGGGGGCAGCGGGCAGCGGGCCCACGGGGCCCCCCGCGCCCCGGGGCGCCGCCCCGAGAGCCAAAACCTCCCGCCCAGGA